AATTTATAGACTGGTATTGGACATATGGGCTAATACTGGACTTACGGACTTGATCTGGCCTGGGCTGGGATGTTTTCTTAATATACAATCACGCTTTTACATAAAGCTCTTTCTTATACACATGAGTGTCTATGAATTTGCTTCTCTAGTCTACTCAGACTAACACAGGAATTCCTCTTTCTTATTTCTTAACATATAAGTCATTAAAGTTCGGGATTTGCATGCAAGCTTTGCTTTGCAAACTGTTGCAGGGTTCACTGTGGAGATGCTCCAAGTCTGCCTTCTGTAGAGAACGGTGGAGGTCAAAGCCACGGCTTCTCAGCAGACGCCTACCTTTCATTATTATCAGCATTAGTAGTGAGCTTCTTTTTCTGTTTTAAAATTCCGATTCACAGATTTTATTCTGCTTTCTCTCCCCGCTCCCCTTCTTTTCTCGTGTGTGCTGGCAAAATTAGAGTCCTTGGGTAAGGCCAGTGGTTTCATGGTAAACTCCTAAGAGAAACGTCCCTTCAAGTTCACTGGGAGGAACCGTGAAAGTAAGGCCTGGCCATCTGCTTCGCAAAGGGCTGTTGTGAAGCAGGTCTCCCTCCCCGTGAGTCACTAAGAGTGGATGCGTTTGAATTAGGGTGTTGGTGAAATATACAAAATGTATCAATGGGCTGCCAGAAAGACAAACAAGCTGTTTTGGAAGAGGGATAGCCAGGATGTTTCTTGGAAGCCAGGCTGGTGAGACTTTGTCTTCCGTACTTTGGACTCGTGCTTAGGAGAGCCGGTCGCTGGAGAATAGCATCGTGCTTAGTAAAGGAAGAATCTTGGCGAGACAGACGGACACAGTGATCGCAACAATGAGCTTCCACGACAGCAAGTGGGACAACGCGCCGACCAGGCCGCGTGCATTCTGTTGGACACGGGGCTGCTTTGAGTCAGACTTCACTGACGGCACCTCACAGGAACAGCACCCAGCAGAGCCCAGAGAAGGGCAAAGTACATTCTGTGGCCCTCAGTAAGTGCCTCTCCATCAGGTAATACTTCCTGCAGGTTGGTTTTTATAACCAGTCTTTGCACTCCAAGGCAGTCCTGTGCATGTCTGTGTGGTATATACTCTCAGTGGGGATATGCTGTGATAGCAACGAAAATAAGAATTATTATTATGGCCTCATTCCTTCTGCTTCCTCTTATTAATTCTACTCTTTTACCAACAACTCAAGAGGCTGGTCACATGGAAGACATTTTAGTTTAAAGGAACGGCTCAGTAAATCACAAAATATGGTACAATTATGTAATCTAAAAGTTGGAAGGAACGTTGGATCCTGCCTACACTGGAAAAATATTTTAAATAAAAGCAAAGATGTCCCCAAGAACCCTCCCATTACTAATGTGAGTTACAAAGCAAAGCTCACTGTCAGTGAGTTGACTCCTACTCTGGCGACCCTACAAAGACAAGGTGGAACTCTCCCTGTGGGTTCCCGAGACCGTAGCTCTTTACAGAAGTAGAAAGCCTTCTCTTTCTCCCATGGTGCAACTGGTAGTTTTGAACTGCTGACCTTGCAGTTAGCAGCCCAACATGCAACGACAATACCACCAGGGCTCATTCGGTTCCGTATTCTTTGGTCTAACTCCTTATTATTGCAATAAAACCTCATGACAGGATGTCTTCTGAGGAAAGGTAAAATCAATTTTTGTGGGTGGTACAAGACAGAGGTCAAGAAATAAAGTGTGTGAGGCCCTCTCTGACCTCCTCTGGTTTCCCTACAGCCACAAGGCAGGGGTCAGACCTACTTCCCTGCTCCCTCCTTCTTTACCTGCTCAACCATTCACAGCACTGGCCACACAGAAGCCATAGACAATAAGAAGGATCTCGCACTGCCATGGAAGCCATTCTGATTCGACCCTCTGGGCCATGGTGGAATGTCCCCTGTGGGTGTCCAGACGGGAACTCTTTGCAGGAGCAGAAAGCCGCCTCGTTCTTCCTTAGAGCAGCT